GGGAGGGAGGGAGAGTTGCAGGAGCACGTCATAGAGGGAAGGAGGAAGGGTTGCATGAACACGTCTCTCGCCTCAGCAAACATCTTGGTCGTGCCTTCAAGACTCACTAGCAGAATGACCTTCCTCTAAGATCCCTCACTTCTCAAAACCACAACATCTAAGGCACTGTAAGAAGGCTGTGTTATGTATCACCACCTCTACCACACTCACTGCTTGCCTGCTGTAATCCAGTGCCGCACAACACCACCACCACTGTGCCTCAGTACTCTCCAATAATGATACCAGTGCCTGATTGAATAGGTCATCAACCAGGAGGCCTGGTCTGGTACCTGGACACAGGGTCGATGACCTTCAAAATCGACAACAGGCAGGGAGTGTGTGTGTGTGTGTGTGTGTGTGTGTGTGTGTGTGTGTGTGTGTGTGTGTGTGTGTGTGTGTGTGTGTCCGTCCCAGTAATGATTCCCTTCTGTCTCCACCAGTACCACCCTTGATAAAATACTGTCGTTCCGCAAATACTTTCAATATCTACGTCTGGCACTCCTAGCGGCCTCATTAACAGCTGTTACATGTGGCACTCCCACCAGCCTCATTAACATGTATTACGTGAGCAATCTGCACATTACTATTATGTGAAAAACAGATTTGTATAGTCTCTTATTTTTTTTTGTGAGAAAATCATAATTCCTGTCATATTAATTTAACTGTGAGAACTTTAAACTGAGTGTTGATGTTTATTAAAGACAGGAGGTGATGTGGTCATGGTGTTGGCTGACTGTGTTATTGTGCCACCTCTCCTGCCTTCCAACCTGCTATGATTAAACAATGTTTATTCACCAAAAACGCAAACTTTGGAGAGAGACCATTTGACGACATGTCTGTCTGTCCTGGACCATTGTCAAGTCACAAATAATTTGGCAATGGTCCAGGACGGATCGAAATATCGTCATAAGGTTCCGCTCCTAAGGGCGGGATTTTAGGGAACTGTTCCACCGACATTATTGTCAATTTTTATTAAGGAGAACAATATTCAAGTGGTGAGAACGCAAGTGACAATAACTGGCGATACTTCTCTTGTTCTGAAAGTTGTCATAATCCAACCTGTCACTTTCTGACTCTTCTTACCTTTACCTCATTGTGCACTCCAAGTGACAGACTGACATATATTGACAAGTCCTGACTCAGCCTGTTCATAACAGTCTATGATAAGTCTGCTTGCGTTCTCTGTATTGTAAATTCCCAATAATTATAATTATAACTATAGTTTTTCAAGGGGTGGAGAGGTAAACTAGTGGAAGACCTCGGTCAGATAACCAAAAGCTCCAGTTGAGGGTCATCATATGACTAAGACCGGCATTAGGAAACACTTGACCTGTTTCCTGACAAACCTTACTTAACCTAAATCTCTACTGTTTTTATTTTGAGTTCTTCAGTCTTTCCATACTTAGGCAGTTGAAATTATCATTTACCATCACATTATTAACATTTCCCATTGAAAGACTTCACTGATACATGTTTGTACTTTTTCAGTGCCCTCTACTGAGGTGACTACAATGCACACTTTAGGATCGCCAGTAAAAAAAATAATAGAAAGTTACTGTCAGTGCTCCCATCTATGAAGATGAGAAACAGTAATGGTGCTAGGACCTTGCCCTGGGGTACTTTTTTATGTGCTAAGACTGGAGGAGAGGAGAGAAAAGGAGGAAAACAAAGAGAGACTAATACCATGATGCGCTTAATTTCTCTTGTTCTGAGAGTTGTTATCCTAGAAAGAAGAAACAGTTACGTATGTATGATGGGGAAATAAAAAGACTGATATGACAATACTAAATGCAAACATGACAAGAGACATGACTGAGTGACAAGCCAATTGTGTGTGTGTTGACTGGGTGACTGGCTAGGTAGTGTGTAGCTGTGGGTGGTGTATGTGAGAGCAGTGGGTGCCAAGGTGATATATGCGTGAATGAACGAGTGAGTGGGTGGGTGGGTGGGTGAGGACCTTGGCCAAAGAGTGCAACAAGTATTGTGAGGGCCAAAGGCAGCCTTGTTCACTCAATAGTGTGTCATCATATATACCTGAATGACCACAGCTATTGCTACCACTGGTGCCACCACTGCTACCACTGGTGCCACCACTGCTACCACTGGTGCCATCACTGTTAGCATTGGTGCCACCACTGCTACCACTGGTGCCACCACTGCTACCACTGGTGCCATCACTGCTACCATTGTTGCCACCACTGCTAACATTGGTGCCACCACTGCTATACTGGTGCCACCACTGCTACACTGGTGTCACCACTGCTACCATTGTTGCCACCACTGCTAATATTGGTGCCACCACTGCTATACTGGTCCCACCACTGCTACACTGGTGTCACCACTGCTACACTGGTGTCACAACTGCTACACTGGTGTTACCACTGCTACACAGGTGCCACCACTGTTACTATATATCTGTTAGTGGTTCCCTTCATCATGGCTCCCACGGCCAGGTCTCAGACCAGGACTTGGTACATCACTAACACTCTACCGGCCATCAACCACACTACAACACGTACATTATCAATTCTGGCCTTGAATAAACAAAAATCCTCCTAACTTGTAATTTTAACAAGAAAACGTATTTTTTTTTTGTTTTGCATATAACATATTAATCTATACACAAATAACACACACATAGGAGAGAGAAACTTATGACGTTTCGGTCCTACATGGACGATTTACAAGTCATTATAATATATAATATATATATATATATATATATATATATATATATATATAATATATATTATATATAATATATATAATATAATATATATATATATATATATATATATATATAACTTCAGGTGACGTGGACGTGTCAGCGGATGGGTCTATGAAAGATGAGGTGAATCATAGAATTGATGAGGGGAAAAGAGTGAGTGGTGCACTTAGGAGTCTGTGGAGATAAAGAACTTTGTCCTTGGAGGCAAAGAGGGGAATGTATGAGAGTCTAGTTTTACCAACACTCTTATATGGGTGTGAAGCATGGGTGATGAATGTTGCAGCGAGGAGAAGGCTGGAGGCAGTGGAGATGTCATGTCTGAGGGCAATGTGTGGTGTGAATATAATGCAGAGAATTCGTAGTTTGGAAGTTAGGAGGAGGTGCGGGATTACCAAAACTGTTGTCCAGAGGGCTGAGGAAGGGTCGTTGAGGTGGTTCGGACATGTAGAGAGAATGGAGCGAAACAGAATGACTTCAAGAGTGTATCAGTCTGTAGTGGAAGGAAGGGGGGTAGGGGTCAGCCTAGGAAATGTTGGAGGGAGGGGGTAAAGGAGGTTTTGTGTGCGAGGGGCCTGGACTTCCAGCAGGCATGCGTGAGCGTGTTTGATAGGAGTGAATGGAGACAAATGGTTTTTAATACTTGACGTGCTGTTGGAGTGTGAGCAAAGTAACATTTATGAAGGGGTTCAGGGAAACCGGCAGGCCGGATTGAGTCCTGGAGATGGGAAGTACAGTGCCTGCTCTCTGAAGGAGGGGTGTTAATGTTGCAGTTTAAAAACTGTAGTGTAAAGCACCCTTCTGGCAAGACAGTGATGGAGTGAATGATGGTGAAAGTTTTTCTTTTTCGGGCCACCCTGCCTTGGTGGGAATCGGCCAGTGTGAATAAAAAAAAAAAAAAAAACTTCAGGTGAACTTAAAAATAGTTTTGCACGTGCCACTACAGGCGCCACACTTGCAGACAATGTGCTGCAACATTCAACATATCCAACACAATGATTCTGACACACTGTTGGCTACTCAGCTGCTGCTGCAGTTTTCAGTTTCACTGAACACCCATCACACGCACTTACTGTCACTGCTGACCTTCACCACCCACGCAACACACTCCAATGTAAAACTTTACCTACTCTAACTTGATAAAGCCATACACAGACCACAACAGTGCCATAATAAAAGCTCTACACCTGTTTCTTTTCTTTAATACTCTTAACTACACCTGTTTAATAATGTTATCTGCACCTATTTCTTTAATACTGTAAACTACACCTGTTTCTTGTGCTAACTCTTAGTGGCTCTGGGGATTATTTTCCCTACAGTCGGGTCTCAGACCAGGGCCTTCTAAGATGTAAAGTAAATACTACGGCATTAAACTTCTGATAAGCACATAGGACAGTAATAGTGTGTGTATACCGAATGTAGACAGAAGTTTATAATATTTACATTCTTCTTTCAACGTACCGGCAGTATCCCACCGAGGCAGGGCGCCTCAAAAAGAAAAATGAAAGTTTCTCGCTTTTAAAATTAGTATATACAGAAGGGGTTACTAGCCTCTTGCTCCCGGCATGTTAGTCGCCTCTTATGACACGCATGGCTTACGGAGGAAGAATTCTGTTCCACTTCTCCATGAAGATAAACGGAAATAAACAAGAACAAGAACTATTAAGAAAATAGAAGAAAACACAAAGGGGTGTGTGTATATATATATGGTTGTACATGCATGTGTAGTGTGACCTAAGTGTAAGTAGAAGTAGCAAGACGTATCCTGAAACCTTGCATGTTTATGAGACAGAAAAAAACAGCAATCCTACCATCATGAAAAACAGTTACAGGCTTCTGTTTTACAAGCACTTGGCAGAGCAGTAGTACCTCCCTGGGCGGTTGTTGTCTACTAGCCTACTATCTAGGAAGATTCACATAACATCTTCAAATTAATGGAGATTAAAGAGTTATCTGTCATCTTCATGCGACAGAGTAAATCAGAAATACTGCCAAAGTGCAAAATATTTAACAGGTTTCCACTTCACACTAATTTGATGGTTGGTGTCCACCAGCCGAATACCTTGTTAGTACTCTATTCTATAATCCATTCCCTTACTCTTAATAATAATAATAATAATAATAATAATAATAATAATAATAATAATAATAATTGTAATTAGTGTCAGGAGTTTAATAAAGATTTGATTGCTGTTGAAATGTCTACTACAGTCACTAAAACAATTTTTCCTTCCAGGTCTATGAGAGCAGCAGTGCTCAGTCACCTGCTACACTGGTGAGTATATTTGTCACTTGATATAATTATATTATTTTTAACATGAAGCGATTAATCCGTGTAGGACATTCAATGCCAGAAAAGGTGGAAGTGACAGCCCGCTAACAGCGACTTAGTTTCTGACCTGTCAGGCTGCGCATACCACCAATACACGATACAGTGTGAACGTGTGAAGACATCAGGATGACTGGGATACCTACACGGTAGACACCAGGTGATGGTACTAGTGATTATGGTTAGTGATCTCACTGAGTCTTCAAGTAGTGATCCATGATGTTAGCTAGTCTCTTCAACAGTCATTAATAGTGAACTATGATGGTAGTTAGTATCTTCAACACTCAAGTCACTAGAGTGAACCATGCTGGTGCTATCCTCCCTAGTTGTTTCAGCAATCTTCTTCTAGTTATGGATGAGAGGGCACAAGGTTCTAGGACCGAAACGTGTTCAATAAAATGTTCCAAATATATGCGTAAGTGTCCTTTCATCCATACTGACGGCATCAATATACCTTCTTCCCAGCAATATTTTTCAGTACATTCGGACTAGTGCTACGCTCCTGCTTTCACGTTTTAGTGTTTATGTAAAACTTTGCAAGAATTGTGCATGGAGCTAGTGTGTGTGTGTTTGTTTGCAGTTGTGTACCTGAGTATTGTCCACGGCAGCAGCAAGCATGGAAAACCTTATACAGCAACAGGAGACACTTTGTGGGACATGGTGGACGGTGGTAGTGTTGGTGGAGGTCATGACATTATTGGCAACGTGACCAAAACAACACCTGCAGTTGCAAACAATGCTGACCAATCTGTTTCTATCACTCTTAAGACTTCAGCATTTTGACAGGGCCACCCACACACACACTGGTCTAAACAATGTCAGTAAATCTGTACTGTAAGTCTATCAACACTGCAACATTTCGACATCCCCCCGACACTACGTGATTGCTCTCATTGTTCACATTAATGGAAACAATTGCCTTACCTCCTCCCCCACTCCCCCCTTCAAAAAAAAAAGGACTCGAAAAATGAAATTGAAAGCTTTTCTTTACACAATCAACAAGTGATATGGCTCAAAATAATATACTGCCTTTATACCAACAATAGTGAAGAAAATATAGGTAACAGAAAAGGCTTTTATTAGTATGTTTTACTCTCTACAGAGTTTTAGAAAGTTCACTGATTTGATAACTTAATAGAGGGTGAAAAGTCAATAAGGATATTTTGTAACATCTTTTCTATATTTGTTAAATTGTTAAGTTCTGCGGTAAAATAATGTAAGATCTATCTTCTTTTATTCTTAATCTGCTTAATAATAAGACAATTAAGCATATTCATATTTCACAAACATCAATTCAACTTGTATATGTATGGAATACCATACCATACATGGTATACCATGTATTGGTATGGTATACAATATAAAACCTTCGTATGTATAATTACTGCTATCAATTCGTACAAAAAATAAACTCGTTACTCGCCTTCCCTGACACCTTAACTCTCTTTACAGTGACGCGAACTAGTAGGTTAGGTCCTAGGCCTGGGTCGAAGGGAAAGGGGGTCTTGAGACCAGGGCTGTAGGGAGACCTGAGACCATGGCTGTGAAGTAAACAGAGACCAGATCAGTAGGTTATCCTGAGACCAGGGCTGTAGGGAGACCTGAGACCATGGCTGTGAAGGAAAGAGAGACCAGATCAGTAGGTTATCCTGAGACCAGAGCTGTAGGGAGACCTGAGACCATGGCTGTGAAGGAAACAGAGACCAGATCAGTAGGTTATCCTGAGACCAGGGCTGTAGGGAGACCTGAGACCATGGCTGTGAAGGAAACAGAGACCAGATCAGTAGGTTATCCTGAGATCAGGGCTGTAGGGAGACCTGAGACCATGGCTGTGAAGGAAACAGAGACCAGATCAGTAGGTTTCCTGAGATCAGGCGTAGGGAGACTGAGACCATGGCTGTGAAGGAAACAGAGACCAGATCAGTAGGTTATCCTGAGACGAGCGCTGAAGGAGGCTCCTACGCTAAGACGTCCTTCCAAAATAGCAAAAAAAAATATATATTTCCATTACATTGCAATACATCACAAACTAAACTAATACCAAAACTAAATAAGAGTTTTTTAGTGACAAAAAATCACAGGTCTCGTGGAAATCTGAATATAAAAAAAACTTCCACGAACGGAAGAATGGTTCTTGTTCTTTCCTAGTTAGTCACTGATGGGTATCCCACACATTTTGAAAAGCTTTCACGAGTCATATTTTGCATTTCTGGAAAGTAATTTTGATTTAGATTATCTGTTATCTGTTGCGGGACTTTGTGTTCCCCATGGCCCGGTCTCAGTCCAGGCTTCCTAGGTTGAAAAGGAGATATTGCAGAATTAAAAAGAATATTAAAGTTGCATACTGAATATATGCAGGAGTTTGACTCAAGAAATCGTAATGACACGAATGCCAACAAACCACGTGTTTATGAGACGGAAACAAAAGGTCAGCAATCCTGCCAGAGTGCAAAAAAATAACAGGTTTCCATTTCACACACGTTTGACAGGAGGATAGTTAGTCCACCACCACTACCTATATATCACATTCACTTGACAGGAGGGTAATACCTCCCAGGGTGGTTACAATCTAACCACCCTGTAATATGAGTGGGAACCATAGTTCCCACTCATATATATACAGGAGGTAGCATCTCCCAGGGTGGTTAGTCTACCAACCTATTACCTGACAGGTGATTCAATGTCAGGATAACTTTCCCTACTCACCATCATCATCCTGCTGTCACTGCTTATGTGGCAGACCAGAGAGCTAGCAGAAGACCTCGGTCAGCTGACCAATCACCAGTGTCAGACAAAAAATGTCTCCTGACAATAACGTCAGCACTTGTAGGTTAGGTTCAACAAACCTTAATTAACGTATAATATAGTAAAATTAACCTTTAATAATGAGACTGGATACTGCCGATAATGACCAAGAAAATTATACACATGGTAGAATAATCTTGATTTAAAATGCTTATCATGTTATGACTAAGCTTTACACTGGGGGAAAAGCTGTCCAGATAAAAGCTTGTTTTGCAATGTGTCTTTTTTTCACAATAACATTATATAAACAGGAAAACATTGTGTCTTTCATCGGGAAGATTTCGTCTGGCTGCGGATAGACTTTACGTCTACCAACTGATAGACATTACGTCTGGCAGCGATAGACACGATAGCTCTTTAAATCACTAGAAAGTACACGCTTGTTCAGTTGGGAAGATGGGTTGCTCAGCACCTGCTCTCTGCATATTAGTGAAAGTATACAAGCAGATACAAGTCTCACTCAACTTTCACATGTCATCACTACTCTCTCTCTCTCTCTCTCTCTCTCTCTCTCTCTCTCTTCCCTGACGTTTATCTCCCACTGTTCCACATTAGGCCCTAACATCGCCAGTACACTTTTAAATGTTATTTCTTCTATTTAAAGTTAGAGTATGTAACTCATATTTATATATATATATATAACTCACCGTGATACTTCCAGCATCACAATGGCTAAGCAGTGTCAAAAGACGTCAAAATATCAACGTTTATCACTGATGGCATGAGAAAGTGTTGCAGGGAGAGAGAGAGAGAGAGAGAAGAGAGAGATCGCTGAAAGAAAAAGATATGATGTAACAAAGAGAAAAAGAAAAGGAAGGAACAGACAGACAGACAGGACAGAGGCCAGACAGGCAGAGTCCAAGAAACAAGAAAAATTTGCGAGCCAGACAAGACCTCCACTGTACGAAGATTGAGAGAGAGAGAAGTAACTAGACGCAAACAGCAGAAAGACAAAGAGACCGAACTAAACTAATGAAGTATACGCGCAGAAAACAGAGAGAAACAAAGATGAGATGAGAGGAGTGGAGGGATTAGAGAGAGGAGAGAGATGAGTACGTTGAGCAGCAATAGAGATGAAACCTATACTACAAGAGAGAGGAGACAGAGAGGGAGAGACAGACAGACAGACAGAGAGAGAGACAGACAGAGCAGAGACAGACAGAGACAGAGAGCAGAGAGAAAGAGAGAGAGAGAGAGAGAGAGAGAGAGAGAGAGAGAGAGAGAGAGAGAGAGAGAGAGAGAGAGATAGAGAGAGAGAGAGAGTCGCCCTCGCAAATACATAAATATATGTATTCTAACATAAGAATACAAGAAAGGAGGAACACTGCAGCAGGTCTACTGGCCCATACTAGGCAGGTCCTTCTCAAACACACTAACAAAAATATTTGCGCTGCCAGACAACATCCTCCACTGTACGTAATTTGAGAGACGAGTAACTAGACGCAAACTCAGCATAAAGTCAAAGTAACCTAACTTAAACTAATAGTTATTACTGCCGCCGTAAAACAGCAGAGAAACACAAGACCTTGAAGATGGGTGTTGGTGGAGGGCTTTCGATCCAAGGAAGTTTAGTCACCCTTCCCTATAATCATACCTCATTACCTCACATTCCTCATTCGCTATGCCCCATACTAGTTTAGCGCTCCCAAAGAATATGTAGAAGAATAAGCGTGGCAAATATGTGGCTGGAACGACTCAGCATAAAACTGCACGTAAGAAACTTATGACGACTTTTCGATCCTTTCTGGACCATTGTCAAGGACGGTCCACGGAAAAACTAAACTAGTAAGACTTAAGGCTAGACCAGCGCATATTTTAGTAACATTGAAAAACTAAACTATAGAACAAAAGGGCACAATACCGTGACTGGAACAATACACATATAACCCGCACACAGGAGAGAGAAAGTTACCACAACGTTTCGGTCCGACTTAAATAATTTACAAAGTGTAACCGAAACGTCGTCGTAAACTTGACTAAACCAGTAAGACTTAAGGCTAGACCAGTGCACATTTTAGTAACAATGAAAGACTAAACTAGAAAGGCTGTATCAGTATACATTTTGGTGATCCCGTTGCACAAGACGACCAGGATAGTCACCTTTGCTCTCTTGATCCAGGAACTGCAACATGTGTGAGTGG